GTTTAGGGTTTAGGGTTTCTTTGAGGCTCCTTTTGAGGGATCTGTAAGGTTTAGGGCTTATCTTGGACCTTTCGGGCTTCTCTACGGGTAAGGGTTTAGGGTTTAGGGTTTAGGGTTTAGGGTTTAGGGTTCAGGGTTCAGGGTTTAGGGTTTAGGGTACTGTTTAGGGTTCTAGAAGCGATCTATGGGGGACCTTTGCATAACCCCACGCTCTTAGGACCCGTGAAGACGAGACTACAAGGGGTTTTGTTGGTTATTTGGAGCCTTAGGGTAAGTCTCCTCGTATGTTTTTATGAAGCATATACTCCTTCTAAAGAACAACCTACCCTGCTATTTTCCTATGCCGGAATACCCAATCGCCAGGTACTTGAGACGCCTCGGGCTCGGGATGGATTTATCAGGTAATTCTCTAAATGTGGGTCCCTTTCAGGGTGCTTTCTTACAGGGTGCTTTCTTGCACTATGGTTTGGGACCAAATGAAGGACCCTAATTTAGAGAGCTACCCAGATGCATTGTTGGAAAGGGTTTGTCGGGTGTGTCAGCATTATAATTGCTGTGTTTCACCGCAGCGGCATGGTCGCGTTAGCGGGACCCTGGTTATTTCATTCTATGCGGCTTCGGCGTCAAGCCTCAAACCCTAAACCCCATCCATCCAGACGCAATTTAGTAGAATCTAGGCCTGCTATTTGGTGGTGCCGACTTCAGCGCATGCTGATACTCAGATCGTGCTGATGCCCTAAACCCCTGAAGCCCCAAACCCCTAAATCTCGCTTTTTCTCTGGCTGTAAACCAAAGAAAGGAACTACGTACAAGGGAGACCATAGGTACTTACTACCTCCCTTGAGCCTAAACCCTAAACCCTAAAACCCTAAACCCTAAAGCCCTAAAGCCCTAAAGCCCTAAACCCTAAAACCTAAACGCTTTGCAGGAAGCAGTGAGCGGCCAGGCGCCAGTCCCCGCCTGTGTTGTCCTTCAAACGAACACCACGGCCCCTTACGGCCACCCGGCAAATGCCAGAGGGCTTTGGGTTTAGGGCTTAGGGTAGTTCGGACGAAGCACAGGGGTTGTAATATCTAGAGTCGGGGCTAGGGTACAGGACTGGAAACGTGGGCATATTGTCTGTGTAGATAGACAGATAGATAGATAGATAGATAGACAGATGGTTTGAAGCTTGATAGATGGATGGCTGGATGGATAGACAGCTAGATAGATCGATTGATAGCTAGATAGATAGATAGATAGATAGATAGAATCAGATAGAACGCTAGATATACAGACCGATCGATCGATAGACCGATAGGTAGACAGATAGACAGATAGAGTAAATAGTACATACCCAAGCTAAACCCTAAACCCCTAAACTCTAAACCCCTAAACCCTAAACCCCTAAACTCCAAACCCCTAAACCCTAAGCCCCTAAACTCCCAAGCTTGAAATGACGTGAAAGAGGTTCATGTTGGTTGATCTTCGCCAGGGTTTGAAGCTTCAGAGCTTTCAGGGTCTGTGTACCCGTACCCAGAGGGTCTTCAGGGTTTGGGGTTTAGGGTTTAGGGTACCCAAATCGTAGAGCTGCAGTTGCCAAAGACCATTCAGAGAAACTGCTTGGGCAATAAAAACTCTACTATGTCGGCACTTGCACCCTCAGGGATATGGTATCTGGTTGAGGTTTTAAAGCCCTGAAGTCACACCTAGGAACCCCTTTCAGGCCGCAGTATATCCTGTAAGCTTTCGAGTTCTGGGACTGCAAGGTTAAGGCCTTGGGATTCCGCTGGTTTGGGGCCAGGGTTTAGGGTAAGTTTCTGGTTTAGGGTTTAGGGTGTAGGGTTTAGGGTTTAGGGTTTAGGGTTTAGGGTTTAGGGTTTAGGGTTTAGGGTGTAGGGTAGACCCCAAACCCGACCCTGAACTATGCCGCAGGGTTCAGGGCTTAGGGCCCAGGACTGCCGGTTTGGCTATTGGCAGGGGTTGCCGGGGCTTTAAGCGTAGGTACACCCCAAATCCCTAAACCAGAAACCACAGCCCTATAAGGTTTAGGGTTTAGGCTTTTAACTCTGAACCCCGGAGGCCTACTGTAATTTTCCCTCCTGCCCTCAAGTCCAAATGCAAGGCTATGAGTATCAGGGCAACAATGGCCGCCTGGTTGTCACGCCGATGACCGACCGATGCTACATGAGCCATGGCTGGATATCAGGGGTCGGGGTCGACGGTTTAGGGTTTAGGGGTTTAGGGTGTAGGGCCTAGGGTTGGAGGTTCAGGGTTTAGGGCTTCCTTCGACAAGGACCTTGGCCTAGATGGTGTCTCTTCGTACGGCCCGGGGCTAGTTTCCGCCCCTTTGCTTAAATTTGGCGGTCCTTCGATCTGCTTTTGCAGTCATGGAGCATGGAGGCACTAGCCAGGGCTTCAGCATCTTCTTACCGTTTCCCTTGTGGGGCCTAAACCCTAAACCCTTAAACCCCTAAACACTAACCCCTAAACCCTAAACCCTAAAACCCCTAAACCCTTAACCCTAAAACCCCTAAGCCCCTAAACCCTAAACCCTAAGAGGATCTTACGAAGGAGCATCTGTAGAAGGCCTCAAAGGGGCCAAGCGAGGCAGCTGCCATCGGGCTCTTGGATGCTTGGACCTCGGGCTGCGGAGTCGAGATGATTTTGCCCTAAGGGTCCATTTTAAACGGGCTTCTTAGGGTTTAGGGCCGTTTAGGGTTTAGGTTTTGTTGTTTAGGACTTTTGGGGTTTATGGTTTAGGGTGTAGGGGTTTAGGGTTTAGGGTTTAAGGGTTTAGTGGTTTAGGGTTTAGGGGTTGGGGGTTAGGGGTTAGGGGTTTAGGGTTTAGGCTTTAAGGGTACTACAAGGCATCCTTTAAGGGTTCAGGATTTAGGCTGCAGGGTTTAAGGGTCCATGTGCCCACATACTGTTGATGATATAAACCCAGCATTACCTCAAGGACCCTAATGGGAGTTAGGATATATTCCTTATTGTGGGTAGAATGCAGGATTTATATCATCAACCGTAGTATATACTTTGGCCCGAAAGTGCCTATTTAGTGGCTACTTTGAGGTCAAAGTATATACCCCAAACCCTAAGCCCTCAACC